CCGGCGCGGGGGGCGGGACCACGGCGTGCTGACGTGGCCGTACGTGCCGCCGTCGTCAGGAAACCGAGATGCGGTTGCTAGGAGCCACCGCCGGGTCGCTAGGGGACGCTGAAGCGGCCGCCGGGGGCGGGACGGAAAGGACGGGCGCCCGAGGGGGCGGGGCCAGGAGGGGTGAAAAGAAAGGGCGCGCGGGGTGGGGGGGAGAGCCTGGGAGGAGGAAGGGGAGTGGCCCCCGCGGGAGGGGCGTGGCCCGGGTGGGCGGGAGGTCCCGCGCTGTCCACCGCCCCTCCTGAGCGGCCTCGGCTGGTGTTCCGCCGGGGAGGGGGCGGGGGCGGGCAGGGAGAGACTCCCTGGCCTCTGGGTGTTTACAGTCTAGCTGAAGAGACAAAACACGGGCCGTAAAATAGCTAAGCGACAAAACATGGGCCCATAAAGTAGCCAAACACACAGCTGCAAGGTAGCTTGTAAGCCAGGCTGTGAGTTGAGGCTAGAGTGTGTGCCTCGGGGAATTCCATGCAAAGCTGGGGTCATGACCGCTTAGGCACAGGTCAAGGGGTGAGTGAAGAGGCCCAGGCAGATAAGGAGCCAAGCAAGGAGTCAGTGGTCCCCGTGGTTTGGCTTTAAACCGTCTCCACGAGGCCGGCGAGCCTCTGGCAGGAGCGGGCTAGGAGAGCTGGGTATTGAAGTTACTAACCTTGTAAAGGGAAGCCGGCCGGCAGGCTCTTTTCACCCTAATTTTCTCCTCTCTGAGCTGGGGATCATAACATCTCCCCTGGCGACTGGGACAGTTCCGTACCATGGACCAGCACCTGGAGCAGAGGCCCCTCAGCAGAGGCAGCGGCTGTGAGCGCTTCCCCCCACCCCTCTCGGGCTCAGAGTCTAGCGGAGCAGAACTGTCAGCCTCCCGCCTGCTCCGTATTGCCACTCTAAAACATAGAGTAATGCACAAAAGTGTGCCCCAAGTTCCAAATATTTGGATGCATTCTCAGAGGACAGGTTCGTCAGAGGTTGTCAAAACGAAATTAAGAACACTCAGACATGGCCCCAACCTTTCTTCACCAGAATCATTTTTTCCACAATTTTCTGCAAGACCATCGATAACAGATTAGGAAGATGGCTCGTATCACAGCATTTTGGGTCTTTTCAAAATAGGCAGGATCCCTGTACTTTGGGCATTTTACGTGCTGTTGGGGATACGGAATGACGCCCATGGAGAAGTTAGAAAAACACGCGTGAACCAGAGTTGGCAGCCTCAGGCCCGTGTCACCCTCAGCCGAGTGCTTGTAGAATACCGACATGCTATTGAGCTTGGGCTGCTTGTCAGTCACCCACATCTTCAAAAGATATACGAAAACCAAAACCCACATGAGCTGAAGGAGGGGGAGGCTATGACTTGGGAGCAGAACTGGGCCTGGGAACCATGGCCTTCCCGTCCGGGACCACAGTGCCGAGCGGCCCCTGACGGCGTTGCTGACAGCCCCCACTCCTGCCCCGCCAGGACCTGAGAGGTCGGTAACAATGTCAAGGAACCTTTCTGCCACCTGCCATGCCTGTTTGCTTTGGCCCCTCATAAGCTAACGTTTTTGAACCCCTGTTCTTGACGAGGCTCTGTGCCAGGCACAACCATTATGCTGTTTACTGTGACAATCCTGGATGTAAAGGAGAGAACCCCATTCACAAGTAAGGAAACAGGGCCGAGGAACCCCATACTCAGGGTCACGCGGTAAGCAGTCAGCCTCGCAGGTGGAATCCAGGGCTGCTGACTCTGAGTACAGGTACTTTTCTAGTTCCTGTGTCCCTGGAGAGATGGGGTGGGGCGGGGGTGGGGGGGGTGGGAGGTGAGCAAGTAGATTGAAGGGACAAGGCCCCACAGACCCCAAAAATGGGAGGGAGCTTGGCATTCTCCTTCAGCTCATGCCTGTTTGTTTTAATAGAAAACAATGTCCCTTCCTCCCTAATCATTGGGTAAAATTGGCACTCCAGGAAGATGTGCCACGTTTATTCTGCTGCTTCTTGTAATGACGGCTAATAATAGCTACCATTTATTGAGCCGTAACTTAATGCCAGGTAGTCGACTAAGTGCTTTACATAGATTATCCACCTCAGCCCTCGTGCCACCCTGTGAAGGAGGGAGCCTGTGCAGCCCTGTGTGGGGCTCCCTGCCGCACAGCTTTGCTGTCCACACACACACACACACACACACACACGCAGGAGCCTGCCTGGCTGCGGTAAGTCTTTGGCTCCAGACACCGAGCTCTCTTTGCCAACCCCCTTTGTGCAAGTAGGTCGTGCCACACCGCGCGAACCCAGTGTCCACAGCGGCGGTGCTCAGTGTCGCACCCTGTTGAAGGCGTCAAAGGTCTAAGGTCCCTGTTCCTCCACTTGGCCAACTTCCCACCCCCTCCCCAGACACCAAGGGAGCCGCAGAGGGTGGCGCTCCGTGATGCTCTGCTGCCTGGCCATCACTGACGCCTTTCTATCGGCCCAGTTTAGGCTGCATTTGAAGCCTTCGCGAGAGAGGGGCTCGGAGCTGTCCTCCCACTCACAGTGTCCACCCCACTCAGACCTCAGAAGCTCTGACGGGGTTTGAGGCTCAACTTCTTCCTAGCACATCCCCCACCCCACCCCAGCCCTAACGCCCAGGCTGGCGAGTGGGGGGAGCCCAGATAAAAGCATCTGCTTCGTTTTGTCTTCATAGCGGTTGAGTGACAAAGCTGTGGTTCCCTGGCGGTGGAAGCGCCTCTGTCATGGCCCAACACCCAGCGCTGGCGGGGAATAGGGAGGCTTCTGTGAATTTTGTTTATTTACCAATGTGCCTGGCGGAGATGGAGCCAGCGTGAGCCTGGCTGAGGGCTGGGCAGGGTGCAGGGGCAGGAGAGTTGGCAGCGACGTGACCTGATCTCCAGGAAGCAGGCCCTGCCTCGCCCGCCCCTATCTTAACCCGCCACTGGGCCAGCTCTGCAGACGAGCTGTGCGCAGCCCCACCCCCACCCGCCCGGGGAGCCCGCTCGGTCCCCTGAGCCTCCCTGACCCAGCAAGTGCACATGGGCCCAGAGCCAAGAAGCTGGGTGCTCATGAACAAGTCACCTTGCTCCCCGAGTGAGCCAACCCAGCTCACGGCCCCTTGCCCCCCTTTCACTCAGCTGAGCGCCAAGGCTGCTTCACCAAGAGCAGCTCCCCAGGGAGGTGGGCAGGCGGCCCCGGGGCTGGGGAGGTGGGGGGCCACGGCACCTCAAAGTCACACAGCCCTGGCTTTGAGCGTGTGCCGTCACCGACGCCCTGTGTGATCACGGCAAGTCATTTTTCTTCTCTTTGGCTGCTTCCTTTCTGCAAAATGGGGATTCTAGTCGGACCCACTTCTTTTTTTTTTTTTTTTTGTAAGATTTTTATGTATGCATACAGAACTGGGGTACAGGCCAGAGGTTCAGCGGCGGCAAGAGGCTTCACCAGAAAGAGCAGGGAGCAGAACAGGCAGATCGACGAAGTCCACTGCAGAGGGGAGCAGCGCGCGGGTCAGGAGAGGGCTGCCGCGCCCTGGGGGTCACCCCCAGGGCGGGGATCGAACTCGCACTGTGGAGAACTTAACTGCCACGATGAGTGTCCGGTGCTTGGCATGGAGCCGCCCGTGTGTGTTGACCCCTCATCGCCATGTGCATGCGCCCGCTGCCTGCTCTGCTGGCCACCTTGCTCCCCCGACACTGACAGTACCCGCACGCCCTTCCGCCTCCTGGCTCTTCCCCTGGCCAGCGAGAACAGCCCATGGGCTCTTCTGAGGGGTGCCCTCCCGCCCCTCCGCGCCTCCCCCCCTCTGCCCGGCACACGCGCCCCGTCCGCGGTCAGCTGCACCCGTCGGGTCCAGCAGCCGGAGCCCACGGCCTTGGCGCTGCTTCCCCATCTGCTTTTGTTTGTTTCCTGCTGTTGCATTTTGGGTTTTTTTTTTATGCACACAAGAACTGGGGTGCAGGCCGGAGGTGTAGGGGTGAGAGGACTCCCCAGAGACAGAGCGGGGAGCAGAACAGGCAGACTAAGTCCACTGCGAGGGGGCAGCGGGGAGCCAGGCGGGGCCTGCGTGCCCTGGGGCCCTCCCTGGCGGGGTCGGGCTCTGTGCACAGTGCTGCGCTGTGACCCGCTGAGCCTCCAGGGGGCCTGGTTTTTGGGTTGTTTTATGAGTTTGTCAGTCGTTGACATTATAGAAGGTCGGGGCGCTTCCTCACAGGCACACAGGCCTCAGTGACTCTCCACCAGCCCCTGCTCTGTCCCAGCCCCCCCAGCCCGCCTTCCCCTCTCCCCCTTCCTGGGGGATTTTTCACGCAGTCGGAGACGGTTCTCCGCCGCGCCGGTCATGTCCGAGTTCTCAGCTCCGACACCTGTCTGTAACCCAAAGCACTTGTCTTCACCTTACAAGACCCCGTCTGGGCCTTCTTATCTCTGCAACCTCTGCGCACCCCACATTCCTGCTTGTTACCCCTTACCTGGTAACACATGGCTGACTAGATATCACCATCCACGCAAACACCTGCTCCCACGCGGGTCTCCCCCAGGGATGCGGCTCCTTCGTGTGCGTCTCCGGCATCGAGCCCAGGCCTGCCACCCGCAGGCACTCAAGACCGTGTTTCGTGAGCAAAACCAGACATCTCCCAAAGGCCCTGGCAGCCCGCCAACAGGTGTGTGGGCACCCCAGCCTCCCCCAGATATGGGAACATACACAGCCCACACATGCACGCGGCCTTCCTGCCAGGCATGGCAGCTGCACTCACGCGCAACACATCTACACGCGCCCCCACGCACTCCTCACGCTCCTCCTGGGCACACACCCTATCTACACACACAGCCTGCAGCTTCAGGATTTGCGCTGCCCGTGCCGGTGACCCCGCCACCTGCTCTCAACTGACACACGCTGTGGCATAACACGTACATTGGCCGCAAGGACGCAGCACCGCAGGCTGGCCGCAGCCGCTTCAGTGCGAGTCTGATCCCGGCCCAGAGGTGACCCCAGGGCGCCGCCGCCCTCTCCTGACCGCCCGCTGCTCCCCTCAGCAGTCTACATCGTCCGTCGGCCTGTTCTGCTCCCCGCTCTGTCTCTGGTGAAGCCTCTCACCGCCCCTGCATCTCTGGCTTGTACCCCAGTTCTGTGTGCAAAAATAATAAATCTTTTTAAAAAGACATTTGTATCATATAGTTAAAAAAAACACACACACTGAATGTTTAACCCTCCGTGCAAAAGAGAGGGTGCTTTTGAATTGATTACTTGCTTAAATGACACTACATTAGGTTAAATAAAATGCATTAGTTGGCTTATAAATTAAACTCAAGATCACCTGTCTCCTCTGGCTCCCCGCCACCCTGGGGCTACCATACCAGACAGGCTGCAGCTCAGGGATCTTTCTACTGCACAGCGGAGCAGGGACCCGGTGGGGGGGGGGGGTGACGGGGCAAATACCCCGAAAGCGCCAGTACCTCCTTTCTCCAGGAGGTGGCGATCCCACCCTGCCTTTGACATCTCTGTTCTAGAAGACTCTGGAAGTTTCCTGAGGAAACCTGCCAGGGTCACGTGGCAGATATTGCCCCCCAAATAAAAACAGGGCCGCGCTCAGCCCTGGAGTGAAGTCAGCCTATCTATGCAAAGCGGCCTCAGACAGCCAGAGGCTGAGCGCCACCCTCCTCACCTGGGTAGCTTGGACATGTTCTCCAGGGGCCGAGATGGGCCTGCATTGGGTGCTGGTGTGGAGCCACGCCTGCCCTTCACCCCCAAACTGGGCCCAGCATCGGGTCCTCTCCACAGCCCTGGGCCCGTAGAGCCAGACACCGAGGAGAAGGAGGAGAAGGGTGGGGTGGTGGGGCCTGTCCCGTGGGGCTGTGGGCAGGGGCGCTCTGGCTCCTGGCAGGGCCCTGGGACCCCAGAATTTGCAGCCATCCAGCTAGGGGTACTCGCTGTTTTCCACAGCGGCTCCCTGCGCCCTGAGGGCAGCCCAGGGCCACAGAGGTCTTAAGTCCTACTCGCCTGCATTTTGGGGGCAACCCTGCCCCCCAAGAGAAACAGGAGCCTAACGGCAGCTTGGCACAGAGGCCTGCAGCCTCGGGGCCACAACATATTACACTCCCCCGGGGGCCCTACACACCTTCACCCTCACCTGGGAGAGCGGCCCCAGCTCAGGGAGACGGCGTAGGGGCTGGGCCCCCTCACCCTGGGTGGCGGCATAGGGGCTGGGCCCCCTCACCCTGGCCCTGGCGGTGGCGTAGGGGCTGGGCCCCCTCACCCTGGCCC